CTGGGCCCGCTCGAGCAAATCGATGAACAATGGGAGGACAGTGATATAGTGATATGCATATATACATAGTTTCAGAAATATATATATATGAAAGTTCACATCACTCAACTTGTAATAACATGTTAGTGATATCCTAAAAAATGTCTTAATGGCCCCTGCCAAAATAGAACAATCTTCACACTGTTTCCTCTATGGATACTTTTTGTAGCATTTTCAGTGTTTTTTCATAACAAACAATACAAAATATATTATTTTGGTTGTGCTTTGGGACAGGGATTGGGGCTTGGGATGGAAACATCCCAAATACAGTGGTGGGAAGGTGTAACGATGGGATTGGTGTTTGAATATTAAATGTAATCAAATATTGTGAACTACCTTATAAAATAAAATATTTAAAAAACAATCTTCTTTTAACAATAATTTGGTCAACTCGTATGCATTTCTGGTAGATTTTGACTACTGAAACCTTCTAGTTCTATTATGTTTCAATCTAAGATTTAATTCCCCGTTTACTCCCTAAAACCAAGGGCCAGCTCAGGTCTTCCAGTTGTGGCCAGGGAAGGGGGATGTTGCCTGATCTTTACCCACCTCCCTTTAGCACCAGCTAGGTTGAGGCAGGAAAGAAAATGGGAGCAGGAAGGGTAGAGTATATATATTTGTGTATACTGAATGAAGTCATTTCTCTCTTAGTCAGCTTTCCTCTAAGTCAGCTATGGTCTGGTGAATATTATCCCTGTCCTCCCTGCAGGTGGGTCCAAATACTAGGGCACTTGTTTGGAACCTTGGAGGGCTTTCCCAAAGCATCATACCCTGCCCAACAGTGCAGGATCCCTTCCGATGCCCACAGTAGCTTTTCAAGATGTTGGTTTGTTCCATCCAGTGTATGTCTGGGGTCAGTCTTTTTGGTTAGGTTACTGGCAAGATAACTCAAGTCCAGTCACTGTCAGCAACAGCCGTTTGTCCACGGGAACTGTAAGGGTCTCCACTTTACCCAGTGTGCTAGCTCCTATTCATTTGCTCTCTCCCTCTCACACTCTCCCTACCTCCTTGTGCCTTCTTCAGTTTTTACTGCTTCACACTTTTCACACTATTTCACACTCTTTCTACAAGTTCTATACTGTTCACACAAGAACTAGGTGAACCTGCAATGGCATTGGCCAAAAAACAGACACTAACTAGAGGAAAGTTGTGACAAGTCTTTGCATTCCTAAACACTGAAATGTATAAAGAATAAGTGGTCTGCTTTAGTAGGAAGCCTACCACCGAAAAGGGAGGGGAGAGGAGCTCCCAGGAGAGGGGGCAGAGAACACTGGGACAATGGTGGATGAAAGCAGACTAGTGAAGGGTGTAGTACATGTGTTATGTTCTATGTTGCATGTGTTATGCAGGAAAACCTACATTAACAGAATTGTAAATCACAATGTCTAAAATAAATTTTTAATTTTAAATAGTCTGAACATTTCTTTGTTCATTACTTTTAAATATAGTTATATCTGAATTGTTCATATTGGGCACAATTTATTTGCAAGACAAAACTTCTCTTCATTTTAGATGAAGATTTTCCAAAGTGATTTGCCAAGAGCATGTGCATAGCATAGCCATGTACAAATTCCCAAAACAGAACTGTGTAAAGTAAAAGTGCTGATGTACTTTTTACAAGGAATCTACACACAATGGGCTTTATGTTATAATTACCTCTAGATAAATTTGTTTCTCATGGATATTCTCTTGAAAATAAAATTTGCAGAGTACTGCTCCATGACCTTCTTAGAAATGTTTGCTTCCCATTTTATATAATATATTCAGAACATAAATTAAAAGATAAAACACTTTAAACCAAGTTGTTACTAATTATAATGGCCTTTAAAAATTCAAATTATTCTTGAAAACAAAAAAAAATATAACATTGATTGTCAATGCCAATGAAGTTTGATTATGAGTATTTCTGTCAGTGATCTTTAAAACTGGAGTTTACCTACAATTCAGTCAGCCAGCCAAATGCTAAGCTAAAAATATCTGTACATCTCTCAGAAGTGACCAGCATGTCCCTAGAAGGACATTTATTGGGAAGTATAAAGTTATTCCATTTCTTACCATTTTAAATATTACATTAATTTTATTTTGACATTTCAGCTTGCTAAATTTCCATTTGATATAGTATTGATGAAAATCTAAATACTTAATATTTTACAAGCCAAAATGTGTTACTATAAGACAGTTTTGTAACATTTCTAGTGATTCAGGCACAGTCAGAATTTTTCTTTTCTTTGGAAGTGTATTTTTTTCCTTTGTTTCTCAAATCAATTCTTGGCAAGAAAATATTCCCTATCCAAACTGTCCTCCATGTCCTACTAGCTGCAAGTCATTTGGTGCTAATAAACTGTTGCTGTCTTTTGAAGAGAAGGAAAGTCTATAAAGTCAATGCTCTAGCAACACTCACTTCACCTTGAATTCAAATACACAAATAGTAGAATTGAGATAATATTTTAAATGTCAAAAAAAACAAGCCACCCAATCCCCCATGAGGCCATGGCCAGATGACGCAGAAAGTAAGAGGAGCAGGAGCCATAACACCTGGGTAGGGGGGCTTGCCTTTCACGAGATTGCCCTGAGCTCCACTCTGATACAACATATGGCCCCCAGAGCCCCCTCAGTGTAAGGAGCAAGCCCTGAGCAGAGTGTGGCCCCTAAATAAAAAAAGACAGAAATGAAACATAGTAAACAGTACTTTGTTCTGGGGCTTTTCTGGAACAAATAATTATATTAAAAGAAATTAAGTATAATAAATTTAAATAGAAATTTGAAAAACTAGCGCAGTATAGGTGGCAGTGCCCTAGTGATTTAAAAATCATAACTTCTTTAGAAGGCTCTCCACTCACCTCTAATAAACACACACACACGCACACGCACGCACGCACACATAGTAGACTATAAAGACTAAGAGTCCCCATCCTCATTTCTCTCTCCCCCTTCCTCTTCTCTCTCTTACACACATACACACACACACACACACACACACACACACACACACACACACACACATGAATCCAGATGCTCCCATAGTGATATTTCTTAAATTAAAGCAAATATGCAATATTTTTAAACAAACAACAATGTATGCCTGGGTTTTTTAATAAGAAAGATTTGGGGAGAGGATGATTGAATTTCTGGCTCTCACACAAACAGTCTCTCTAAATTTTGGCAATAGGGATACCATAAGCAGAGATATACCACTGAATCATCCTTTACCAACAATTGCTTTAGTAAGAATCACCAACATTGTTCACTTTGAAGTAAGCATAAGAACTCAGGAGAAAACCACCACCCACTGTCATCTTGTGATTTGACTACAAATGGGACACCAGGGATTAACAGCTTCTAACCACTTCTGTCTCCATATATTAGCTGGCAGTCAAGTGATTCCTAAATTGCATACTAGTAGGATTATAAAAACTAGAAACTTAGAGCCCCACTTTCAGAGAATTCAGTTTCCTCCTTTTCTCTTCTTGCATCCCACTCAAAATATGTCTTTCCTCTTTGTCCTCAAGTACATAGAAACCTCACACACATGAGTGAGTAAGGGTGGGATACCTGTCTCCAGCCCCACTGCAAGTAAGATCAGAACTGGAATCTCAGTAAACCAGAATAAACTAACTGGTATTCTAGGTCCAGGATAAATCTGCTTCATGAATTCTACATATACCAAATTAGGCATTAATAGTCTATCTGACACTGGTTGCCTCTCACTTCTGAAGAAACACTATGAAACCACCTTTCTGCATCCCTATCCATTCTTCCCAATTTGAAATCCATGACTCAGGAAATCACCTAACCTCTAAGGGCTCTTTTCTTATCTAAAATTAGGACTGAGCTAACAATCGCTGAGAAACTTTCCAGTGCTAAAAACTGTGCTTTTCATCCCTCTCCATTTTATGTTTCACTTTAGTGTCTGAAATTTTCACTAGGTGGCAGGATTCTACCATCATATTATGAAAGGACTTTCTGATGTCTTTCTGGGAGCAGAAAATTTCAAAGAAACTTCTTTCTTCACAATGTATATTTAAAGAGAAACGTCGAAGGGAAAGAAAAAACTACAGAAGTCAGTGATCTCTGTATTTCATAAAGATAGGCATATATTTTAATGGAAGTATGAAATTAATCAAACATGATCTTTTAGTTAATATCACAATCTAGTATAAAAGGTCTACTTATTTTCGTGCACTTTAAAATTTATTTTAGCTTAACCTCAAATAGATCATATCATATCCCTCAAGCAAATTTGGTAAGCATATGAGCTGAGAAACAAGCAACTTAATGGCTATAAAAACATTGAAAATGATTATCAGATGTTTTCATAGTTACCTCTAAGTTACTTAGAACATGTTTTTAGTTATCTATAAACTTTCTTTTGAGCTAGTAAGCTGGTGAATCCAGAGTATTTGCCCTTTATTTACCCTTTCGAACAGACTTGGAGACATCACAATACTTCTGAAAGTACTGCCCTAAATTGACCTTTGCGTGAAAGCTGCCTAAGTGTCACTAGGACACTTTGTCCCTCACCCCCAAAGAGCCGAGCCGATTGGTTGGGCTAGAAGAGCACTTCTCCAAGGCACAGGAGCTCAGCTGCATATTCCAGTATGGCCTAGAAGAAACTCCCCCACGTGTACTGGCGGGTTTCAGAAAGGCTGGTTTAAGTAGACTTTTTTTTTGGTTTTTTTTTTTTTTTTGCTGGATAAACTGCCTCTCCCCCCGCCCCTCCTCCTGCTGTCCCCACGGTCCATCAACTGTGGGTTAATTACACATAAACTCTATCTGTTACTTTGAGACATTCCTTGAAAAAAGGAAAAGTGCACATCCTAGAAAACTTCAGCCTCAGCACCCAACGGCAACGGATGTTGCTGGAAGCTCTCAGCTAGAACTTCCACGGCCATCCACAGGTTGCTGCCAACACCACCTTCCCCGCACGGCGCCCGGAGAACACCTCTCCCCGGCGACCCTACCTTGGCCACTTGTAAGGGCTGCTTCTGCTCCTTGCCGCCTTGCAGCCTGAAGCCCCAGGGCGCCCCTCCGGTCATGGAAATGCAGATGAAGTCCCCGGTGCCCATCTTCCCGCTTTGGCCGGGGGAGCTTCGGGCGCTGGAAGGCGAACGGGGCTGTGTGCTCCGCTAGGGGCGCCTGCTGGAGGCAGCGCGGGTGGTGCAGGGCGGCGGGAGACGCTGCTAATGGCTCTTCCCCCAGCCAGCGCAAAGCCAGGCTCGCTCGCACCGAGGACACAGCCCACTCTTGCGTCACGCTCCTCTGCTCAGCCCACCTTTCAGGAACGCGCTTCACCACTGCGGAAGGTCCTCGTTTTGAGCACCCTAAGGGGTTTGGGGGGGGGAGCACAAGTGCCCTCGCACAAACGGGTTCAATCCCAGCACTTTAAAGAAAGAGTGGTTGAAAAACTTGCATTGAGTAAGTCTATAAATAGAAGAGGACACGTGAAGGTTTTAATCTCCGAGCCACGGGTGACATGCTAAAATATGAGTTCTGGCAACTCCAATACCAGCGGATTAAGAGTCTCTCAAATAAATGTTTGGAGAATTATCATGCTGATGAGTGAAAGCGACAAAAGGGGGTTAATTTTTTTTTTCCTGACCAGTTACTGCCTGCAGCCTGTAGAACTAATCCCGTAAGAGGAAGAAAGCAAAACATTTTTTTTAAGGAGGGGAGAACCTCTATTTCGAAAATGCTTTGCTGAAATTCACATTTATAGCAGTTACCTGCCACCTGAGACATGTGCATTTTTGCACATATATAGTGAGAGATAAAGGTAGAAGAGGAGAAGGAAAGGAATAATTTCCCACTGGCAACATCTTCCAGTTTCGAAATCTGTAAATGATTTTGGAAATAATTTTTATGTATTAAAATGTGGCTGGAGCGATAGCACAGCGGGTAGGGCGTTCGCCTTACAAGCGGCCAACATGGCCGACCCGAGTTCGATTCCTCCGCCCCTCTCGGAGAGCCCGGCAAGCTACCGAGAGTATTCGATATGCCAGACACAGTAACAACAAAGTCTCCAATGGAGACGTTACTGGGCCCGCTCGAGCAAATCGACGATCAACGGGAGGGCCTTTACCTTTATTAAAATGTAAATAAATGCCCATGGTGGTCTAAGTTGGAAACATTTGTATAAACTGTGTCTCTTGCATGGTCTGAAGTATTTTAAATTTAAATAAGTGTTTCATTTTGTTACTTCCTCAGCAGGAAAGAAACTTGTTAAACCTGAATCAGCCAACTGTCCACAACGTCATTTACAAATTTTTCCTTTTTTCTAGTCTTCCCTCAGGGTTCTGAGCCTGTGTGACTGTATCTGAATGTATTTGAATGTTTCAGGTATGAATACACTCAACCAGTGAGTGTTCAAATAACGCATATTGTTGGTGTGTTACAATATAAATGAATCAAAATCTAAAATACAATGCACACTTACACAGAAACAGATGTGTGCAATGATCTTATTTGTGCCTCTTCGCTGGAGTGAGGAGGGCAATGAAATAAGATACTGCACCCAGAGACCTGAGGAAAATCATGAGGACCTAACATTCACAAGCTCGGTTCTCCTCAGAAAGGCGAATCGATTTCATCATAATCTTCATTTAAAAATAAATCTTAGAAGTGACATCCTAAAACATGAACTCTAAGAACAAGAGAAAGGGTATTTGCACTTGCTCCTCCAATTCCAGTGTGCTCTCCCACCCCCACTAGTGCAGACATGGTTGTTTAAGTTCTCTTCGAACTACTTCTCCCTCCTTCAAGGAAACAACAAGCTCTTGGCTTTCCTTTCGCTTCTTTACCCACTCCTCTCTGGTGGCAGTCCTAGACTCATTGTTAAGTGTTCCATGATAAGGCTACGTCCTGATCCTCTTCCGCCATTTATTACATGCCCCTTCCATCAATAGGTTTTCACATTTACCCCCCCCCCCAAATTAAACTTCCCCTTCCCAATTCCAGACATCTTTCCTTACTGTCAGTCCTATATATACAATGGTCACCGTTATGGTCACTGTCCTCCCGTTGTTCATCGATTTTCTCTAGCGGGCCCAGTAACATCTCCATTGTGAGACTTTGTTGTTACTGTTTGGCATATCGAATATGTCACAGGGAGCTTGCCAGGCTTTGCCTTGCAGGCAAGATACTCTCGGTAGCTTGCCAGGCTCTCCGAGAGGGGCAGAGGAATCGAACTCGGGTCGGCCATGTTGACTGCATGCAAGGCAAATGCCCTACCTGCTGTGCTATCACTCCAGCCCCTACAGCAATAGGGCATTCACCTTACAAGTGGCCAACATGGCCGACCCGAGTTCGATTCCTCTGCCCCTCTCAGAGAGCCCGGCAAGCTACCAAGAATATCTTGCCGCACGGCAGAGCCTGGCAAGCTACTAGTGACGTATTCAATATGCCAAACACAGTAACAAGTCTCATGATGGAGATGTTACTGGGCCCGCTCGAGCAAATCGATGAACAACGGGAGGACCGACATCCCTATATAAACAAATGACTATTAAACCTGTCCCTATGTGACTGTCTCCTAGAAACATCAAATTCAATATATTCAAAATAAAGTTCACTGTTTCCCACTGCAAAGACTCCAGTCCCAACAAATTGCAACAGCTGCCCATCTCCAATCTTCTAGCTGTGTCAGAAAAAGAGCCCATCTTTTTTTTTTTTAATCTACTTTAAAACTCACATCCAGGACACTCCTATTATATTCACCAAGAAACTACATCTAAGTAGTTCTTTCAGAGAAAAAACACACTAAAATTCATTAAATTTATTAAAGTTTATTCTGTTTTGGTAACTTAACAGGTAGTTTTATTTACCTTAAGCACTCAGCTTTGGGATCCCAAGTGGTAGCATCAACAATTGAATTTGGGGGGCCAAAGAGATAGTATGGGGGTTAAGGCACTTGACCTGCATGTGACTGACCCCATTGTGATCCTCAGTGCCATATATGGTCCCACAGGAACTGCTAGGAGTGATCTTTGAGTGGAGGGTCAGGAGTAAGACCTCAACGCTGCTGGATCTTAAAAACCCAAAACCAAAAGTAAAAAAGAATTAGCCTTTCGACTGACTGAATTAAAAAATTTCTGTTCTCACCATCATTAACCTGCATTGCATCCCAGGCCTTATGTTCTGTCTTATGGTCGTAGCATGCAGCCAAATACTCATTACACCTACCGATCCAACATCAAACTGTATCACAGGTTGGCCCTTTCACTCCACTCCCAGGGTTCTACTTCTCTCTCCTCTGGGCTTCAACTATCTTTAAACTACACTCTGTTCCAGTCTTATTTCCACTCGGAATTTATTTTTCATATTATAGTCAAAGTGAAACTTACAAATGCAGTATCTATCTTGGTTCCCCCTTCCTTCCCCCCCCCCCCACACACACAACCCCTGCCCCCCTCCATCCAACTGTTAGTCTTCAGGTGCTCTCAAAATAGATGAAACTCCTTCACACACATATCACTTTCTGCCTCCCACTCCTCACTTCTTCTCCCACCTCATCTCTCACCTTAAATTTTATGATTCCGGCACACAGAACTGCTCTTGGTTTTTCTAACTTGCTGGGTTAGCCATCTGCTAAGGCGTTCTTCCAAACTTTGGAGTCCTTGCCCACACATAGTCACCTAATTCCTACTTATCCTTCCAGCCTCTGATTAGATATCACATTCTTCAGGAAGTCTTTCCAAACCTCCCACCACCACCCCTTCCACTAATGGCAAGGGTAAAAGCTCCTTCCAGGCACTGCTGACATTCTGCACTTTCCCTCTCACTAGATTATTAACTCTGTGTAGTGATGGGTCATTTATCATGTACTCAGTTTTGTATCCCCTGGTGTAGTACTGTTCCTGACTCATTGTTGGCTAATTGATGAGTAAAATGAAAGAGTAGATAAGATTTCTCAGAATACACGTTTTTAAAAGAGTCAAGAAGCTCTTTTTCTCTACTTCATTTGAATTAGGAAAATCTAAAATGATCAAAATTCTTGAATTACACCACTTCAATACTATGTGGAATAGGGAATGGCTGAGTCCTTAATATTTTGCCTGCCCCCTTTATTGGCAGTAGCTATTGGATTAAGTAAGAACCATTTCCCCCTACCTATAATTATATGAGTGGGTTAACCCAAGGCAATCACAGAAATTAGTTCTTAACACAGAAATTAGTTCAGCAACGGTTACTAGGTATAAACCAAAGTCAAGGACATTCCCCTGGGATCAGTGAATACTTCATATATTATCCAAACTTTTCTGAATATCTGTCAGGGACAAAATCCCCCCCCCCACCCATGAATGCTGACAGCACCTGTGTGAGGAGGGAGATGTCTCCACTTGGTACACTGTGCACAACAAGTTGACATGGATCTCAAGTGCTCCTCTAGGTTTTTCTGGATATGTCAGAATGCATGGTCTAACTGCCTCTTTCCCACTCTATTTCTCAGGGTTGTGTTTTCAACAAGGACACTTGAGGCACACAGCAATATGTCAATCTGGAATAAGTAGCAGAACTGTTGTCTGTCAGTAAAATTAAAACAGAGTGAAAGCTAGGGATTCTCAACACTTAGTGCTTCTCAGCCATTATGCAAACCCACTGGACATGTAGCGTTCATCTGGGTGATGTGATGTCACTCTTAGGGAGTTAGATGCAAGATACACTCCTGTAAACATTTGGGGGATGTAAACATGGAGGATGGGGGATGTTGCTTGCTGTGCTATGAATAACGAAGATACCTGTCTCCAACCAAGAGTCCTACGTATCCTTTCAGCATCCATGGAACAGTAGCATGCTAATTCTGTAGTTTCCAAGGAGGCTGAAAGAAAACCCTAGAACCATTGCATTGAAATAGAGAGACTAGTAGAGAAATAGCAAAGTCCTGGTCAAATAGCACATAATCCTATTCTTTGTGTTGGGGGAAGGAACAGGGAGAAGGCAGATACTCAAGACAAGAACAACAACAAAAAATTGTTTTAAGGACAAGAAATGGTCTTGGAAGTGATTCTTGTGCTAACTACTTATCACTTAAGGTATTTAATAATGTATGAAATTTTATTTTATATACCTTTATTCGGCCTCCTGCAAGGCAAACGTCTTACCTGCTCTGCTATCACTCCAGCCCGAGGTTTGATTCCTCCATCCCTCTCAGAGA